TGTTCAGTTTGGTGTTTTGAATTTTTAGAAGAGGTGTGTCCATGAAGATTACACTAAAGGGAGGTGTGATGGAAAAATGTTTAGGAACTCCTGCTCTAAGGCATAAACACAAAGATGTTATCCAACTAAATCTTTGGTCAGCTCACCATGAGAAGAGAAGAGAAGAGAAGAGAAGAGAAGAGAAGAGAAGAGAAGAGAAGAGAAGAGAAGAGAAGAGAAGAGAAGAGAAAAGGCACATGACTGAGAGTTACAGATAGAATAGTGATTAGAACTTTTTAAAAAGAGCTTACATTGGGAAATTTGTATTTTAAATGTTGACATAGGAGCAACTTCCTTGTCAAAAAGTGAAACCAGGATGATTTGCATTAAAAAAACCCTCCACTTTCTTGATCATTTTATGTTAACAGCTACATATAGTAAAGGATAATGTGTGTCTTGGTGTTTCAGGAGGTACTACAATCATAAGGAGTTACGATTTTTTTTTCTGATTTAAAAAAAAAATTAAAAAATCCATAAGACTGGATTACTGCCCTAATGAGGATAGTAAAATAGTCTCAATCTTTTCCTAACATCCATTGGTTCAAGAGTGCAGTGGATGAATTGTCTTCTCCTTCCGTAGTATGTTCTGGCAGATGTTTCTTCCTCCATCCTTCACTGACCTCCCTAAATTACTTTCTGCAGGATCCAGCTGGATTAACAACAATGGGGCTATCCCTGCTACCCTCAACCTGAGCAACCCTTGCAGATCTTCTGTTGGAATGGCTTTAAGGAAACGAGTGAACCGGCCCTCTTTGCCCAGCATCCCTGCTATCACCCAAGAGAGCAGTTTCCTAAGACATGCGTCAGGTGTGACATAAAAATTCTGCCAGCCTCTTATATGCATACCCTTTCCCTAACCCTTTCCTTTTGCTATAATATTAATGTGAAAGGAATTTATGGACTTCGTAGACTTCATGCATTTGTTCTGTAGGAACAAGTTACAAAGAAGGTGCCTACTCTACGCATTATAATGTTAGATAGCTTCATGTCATTGGGATTTTGACAGGGTGGTTTTCTGAAACTCATCAGAAAGCTTAAAAGAATTTTGCAGGCCAATCAATATGATTTCAGTGATGATGCTAACATTTGGCACAAGACTGTGTAGGCTGAAAGTGATTGGGACATCTTGAGTGGTACAAAACTGAAATGGCATTTTATTTTATTGAAACAACATGCTAGTTACTATGATGAAGTTGCAAAAGCATTTTGCAGCTTTAGGGTCTTTTTATATGTAAAACTAGGTTTGCAAAATATAAGATCAGTAGGCTGATTGTAGACCCTTCCCTGTTTATTGGAACCTCCTAGGAGGTTTCAAATATTCATTGTTTGTGGCCTTTTCCAGTGTTGGTAAGACCATCTAAGGCAGTCTTTCTTAAGGGAACTGGAACTATAAGTCTCAGAGTCTCCTTTCATCATGGCAAGATAGCCAAAGGACAGCAGATTATAAAAGATCTGACCAGGCTGGCCAAAGTGATATGTGAGTGGGAGAATTTGAATGTCTATGGCTATGCCTGAATTATTTCTCTTTTTTGGATTAAAAAATGTGGATGAATTTGGCACCAATTTTTTCCAATCTGTGGTAACCTCTAACCTTGCTTACAGTCCTCAGTATGTGATGTGTTGGTAGAGGCAAGAGAACTACAAAGGTCCGGTGTAGAAGACTGAAAGGGGAAGAGGCGAGAACTTAGAGATGATGCTGGTGAAAGGACTGTGACACTGTAAATGGGAAAAGTGAGATAATAGACCTATGATGGTGCAATCTGGAAAAGGAGAAACTACGATGCAAACGGACCTGTACATAGAAACACGGAAGTGGGTGGTGGGCAGAGAAAGCAATTTCCTGTGTTTGGTATAGGCAGAAGAACAAAAGTATGTTCTTCTGGAACATACGGAGAAGAGAAGAAATATGGAGAAGAGAAAAGAAGATGTAGTCCAGTGTCAGAGGAATTCTCTTCTGTCTGCTTTTCCCCTGGCACTGTTGAAAATGTGTCTTTGCCTCTCCCAACATTCATTTATTATCCAATATTTATTAGGAGGGGTCCAAAGGGGGGAAAAAAGATTTAAAGGACACAGGAGGGGACTTGAAGTGTTTATGAACAGTGCATTTTAAACAATCTGATGACCACAAATATATGCTACAAAGAAAGCTATCCTAAACTATCCTATGCGTCTAAATTTCAAATAATTAGCACATTTAGGATGTACCATATGCTGAATTATTTTAATATTTGTCCCAAGAAGATTTAAAAATAATGTTTTTTAAAGTGTTCAGCACAATCAAGAAATTCTTGTTTGAAACAGGTGCATAGCAAGTTTTAATGTTTTGTTATTTTTAAAAAATCCCAGAATATAGAAAGCTAACTTTTCAGTAAGAAAAAAAAAAAAAAGTTTCTACTTAACCCGGTGCCAAAATTTGTCTTCTGTGTTCTTTTTCTTTCCAAAAGGTTTTTTTGTTTTTCTACCACATTTTCAGGATGCTGTAGAGCTTATTTAGAATATTTTGGGTGTTGTTTTTGAGCTGATTTCATTGCTGTGACACGTGGCTGAAGTTTGTTCTGTTGTTCATCTTTCTATCACTCTCCAGCTCCTTGCTTACTGGTCTAAAATAGCCCCATGGAAGATGTTCTCTCACTATGTCTCCTCTTAGGATTTACATCTCACTGTTGGAGAGATGATTGTATAAGGACAAACATTCACATGTGCACATGCACGCACACACAAACACACATTGTCTTCTCCTTTAGAAAACAAACCTGAAAGTAGTTTCCTTTCCATCAAACTAGCAAACATGGTTGAAAGGATACAGACAATATTTTCAGAAGAGCACTACTCTTACGATAGGTACCTTTTGGATTTCAATGTTTGCAGTGTCGTTTTTGATACAGGAAGCCATTCAAATAGGCAACTCTCATCTGCAGTTTGAATGGCACATCCAGGAAAACTTAGGCTTCATATATTCTCTTAATTGTATGGCACAGTTCTTCCTTTTACGGGCAGCAATGCTACCTGAGAGTTATTGTGCAATGCTGAGAGACAGCATACATGTCCCATTTGGCCTTCCCAGTAGCTTCAGATCTGCTTTTGTGTCTGCTAGAGATCAGGAAAGTAGCCTCTGCCTGCTAAGTTAAGGTTCCCTTGGGAGCATCACTCCTGGTTCTCTAATTTCTCCTTTTACTCTCTGAATGACCGACAGCAGGGAGGAGACAACTCTGAATTTTGTTCCTGAGACAGGATCAAGGAATTTGCCCAGTCACTATTTTCAAGGTCCTTGTAAGTTGCACATAACTCAGATCAATGTGCCACTTACAAGGACCTTGAAAATACTGACTGGCCGTAATGCCACATCAACCCTTTGCTTGACCTTACTGGGCAAGACCTGGACCTTCTGTGTCTCTCTGTATTGGGACAACCTAATGCAGTGCAATTGTTAGGCAGCGGTTTGCCCAGTTGGGCAACTTCAGGGCTGCAAAAGCCATCTCCCAGCCTGATGTAGAAGATTCCAGGTGATAAAAATTGAGGGAATTGGAGAGGATTCCTGGCAATAGAAAAATACTAAGCAGCCATATAAAGATAAGAGGATGGCTTTCTCGAATCTAGAACTCTCTAGTTTTGTTGGCCTACAATCTTTCCTGGCCCCCAGTCAGCAAGTTGGCTAGCTGGAGATATTTGGAATTATAGTCCAGTGTATCTGAAGAATGAAAAGTTCTAAGGGACCAATTGGTCTGCTTCAGGAATGATTATTATTGTTACTTTTGGAAAGACAAAAGCTAGCAGGCCAGAAAATCCATTGTGAAGATATACTTGCAGCCTGAGAATGACTGCTGTTTTGGTGGCAGACAATGGCAGCTCCATCTTTGAGTCCTGAAGGGTTTTCTTTCACACCTGTAAAAGAACCAGGGAGGAAGGACCAGGGAGGAAAAGATGTGCATTTTTTGAGTCTTCCTCTCCTATCCTGAACCCAGCAAAACTCTAATGTTTTCAGTAGAATGTGACTCGGATATACAGCCATTGATATGTTTTGATTGTTATTTTATGTTCACAGCTAATTCCCTGCCAGCGAATCTTCAGCACTCTCCAGAATGGGAAGAGGACATTGTAAATAGGGATGCCTTTGAGATAAGGCCCTTGTCTCACCCAGAACATGACTTAGTCGATGCTCTGAAGTGGCTCAGTAGCAATGATTGGTAAGGAAAGAAAGAACACTATTTTCTAAGCTGGGTGAAAGTCTCTGATGCTCAGGACCTAAAGCAGGATGTACATTGTACAGAAATAACTGCAAATGGCCACCAAAATGTTAATATTTGTAATTTATGCATAAAGGAAGGTTGGATAGGAAGTGCAATACAATCATATTTCATTTCAAAAGAGGAAAGTTCTTCAAAATGGGGGAAATGGGAAAAAAATGGAAAAGGGTGGCAATTTTCTTGGAAGTGTGGGGGTACCCCAAAACCACATAATTATAATTCTGTGTCTTCAGAATGCTATGGGGCTTCTGGCAGTCTTCGCACCCTGCACCCAAGAGGAAAGGCAGTATGGATAGATTTCCTACATTTTTTTTCTGTAGGTGCAGAGCAAGTAGGACCCCACTGGCAGGAATTCATGCCTCATTCCACCTCCTGTGATTTCCCCTCCCCTCCCCTCCCACATGAGGGCATCATGGTATCTTGTAGTGACTCCCCATAATTGTGGCTCTTCTGAGATTTGGCTATGCCATGCACTGTGGCCAGTTGATGTGGCCACCGCTTACTTTTTTCTCACCACAAAAAGCCAACGCAAGGAAGAAAAAACAAGGAAGAGAGATGGGTTCTGTGTAATTGTAATTTTTAGTGCTCCCTCACAGGGCAGCTGGTGGGACTGGGCAGGTTAGGGGAGGAAGAAGCTGAAGCAGAGATATCTACAGAGGGGGTCAAAAGAGTCGAGTTGGCGCCACAACTGCATGGCAAGGCCCTGCTCCTTTTTTATAAAGGTTGCACATGCAATGCATATTTAAAAGGGGCTGGGCTTAGATTGTACAATTGCACCTAACTCCCCCCCCCCAATGCTCCTGCTGAGGATACTCACAGAACGCCATGCAACAAAGTGAAAATGCAGCTCGGTTTGTAGGGACAGAGCCAGCAGTTGTGGAAAGCTGCTGCAAGCATGGTTAATGAATAACATCCAAGAAGCTATCTGAGGGAATAAAAATTCCTTCAGAAAACCAAAGCAAAGGAACACAAAGAAATGCAAGTAGGTATAAAAACAGCTTTTCAGTGGAGTATGTTGCTAATAAACCTAAGACTAACAGTAAAAACATCTTTAAATGCATGAGAAACAGAAAATCATCCAAAAAGGTTAAATGACAACAGAATCCAACCATTTATTTTGGAATTTATCACCTATCTTTATTTTTTGTCACCAACAGGTGGAGTTGTTAATGCATACTAGGGGCAACAGAAACAAAGCGGTGGGAGGTGGAATGCAAGCTTTCTCTTCTGGAGGAGAGAAACGCTGCTGCATCAGTCTCAGCCTTTTCCAAGAATGGAGCCTATCGTGCAGAACTAGTAGATCAATCATGCTCTTTTATTCAGCTTAATTTGCAGGAGATTCTGTCTGGCATATACACTGGTGATGAAAGACATTTCCCCACCAGTAGTTTTAAAACCCACTGTGTATGAAAACTTCTGTTAAATTCAGAGTCTTTGCTTTTCTCTAATCCCACTGAGTGACTTTTGTGACATATCTCATTTTCACACCCTCTCACCACTGTGAGGAATGAGGTTTCTGCAAAACGCCAGGTGAGACTGATGATTTCTCTTCTCTTTTTCTCTCCTTCCATCTTTCTGATAACTGCGTTTCAGGCACCTGAAGGAGAAAGGACTCTTCAGCATCATATGCTTGGCTACCTGCCATTCAGAAGTTCTGCAGGGTAGACTTCATGATGTTTCCTTGGCAGCTATGAAAGAGGTGGGAAACGAATATTTAACATATGTCCAATCAATCTTCTCTGGTGGATTACCTGATGCTTTCCAATCTGTTTCTATTTAGTCAGTATGCCTCCAAGCAGCTTTCATACTTTTGTGCACCTGTGTGGCTGCCCAATGTGCTATTTATATTTATCTATATTAAAAAAAATTAATAAACTTTTTATTATCTCCAGGGTGGGAGTAAAATTACATGAATATAAGGTACACAATGTAACCAAATGTGCACACACCTGTATTTGTATAAAACTGTTTTTGAAAAATATGCTTTCAGATAATTTATACTTTATTCTGATGAGGAGAAGGATAGAGGAGCAAAAGATGGACAGGATGGAGCAGAAGTGTAAAAATCCATGCATTCTAGCAGATACTAGGGTCCTGCCTCTACCATTGCAAAGTGACAGGGGTTGGAACTCAGAGGCGTTGTTTTTAATGGCCATGCCCGTGCTGCACAAGTAAGACTTCCCCCACATTGTTAGCTTTTTGGAAGCTGCTAAAGACCACATTGTTTCAGAAGGTTTATGGGGTCTGAGATAACACCTGGTAATAATTAGTTGATTGATGATTGTTATGGTTTTGATTTTAATGCACTTAAAAAAAAAAAAACCTATGGATGTTTTATTATGTTTTTTTCTTCATAAAATTGTTGTAAACTTCCCAGAGACCAGAACTGATCAGCAGGAATAAAATGGATGGATGGATGGATGGATGAATTTAGTTCAGTAGGTTGAAGTGCAGAGAAGTAATGAACAGAGCTGTACATTTCCTATACACATTTTAAGAGCACCTTCTCATCCTGCTGTTGTCCTCATATTTCTAATCAGGTAGAACGCTGAGCGTTGAGTCCCAAGATATCTGAAGGGCTCTAGTTGAAGGAAGGCTACTTTAGAGTATCTTTTTGTGTCTGAACTGCATGTAACTTTTGTAAGCCAATGATTTTTTTTTTCTTCCTCCCCAGTCTATGGGACCATTTTGGAGTCTTCTGCAGTCACTATTACTAGCTTAGGGCCGGGACCAATGATGTGCATCCTGGTATAGATATATACAGATACAGTAGGCATATGCTGTATAAGTTCTTTACCCCCATACTGTAGCTACCTCTAGTGTAGGATCCAAAAACCAGCTTTCTCTGTAATCTTTTTTCCAGCGATGAGCAAAACAGAGGAGGCGCTGTGAACAAAAAGAGAGAGGCCTGTCTTGAGAAAGGCCTCTCTTGTCACAAACCATTTAGGATTTTAAGGCACAAAATCTATTCTTGCAGCTGTGAACATTCACTGTACACAGTATTCAGTTGTGTTTTAGATAGTGGCTAGAAAAGGAGTATCACTGTATTTTGCAACCTGAGATATGCTTGTTCAGGTAGCCTACTCATGACAAATTTCTCGGATCTTAGACAGCTAAGTAGAAGCCTAAGAAACATGTCTAACTGTGAAAACATATATCTTTTGTCAAGTCTAACAGAAGCAGGTTTAGAAATGCAACCACGGGTGTTTTTCTGCATAGAAAGCATGTGTTCTCCACTGAGTTATGGCTTCTTCCGTGTAAGATATATGATATAGACACTGCCACAATTTTATATAATAAATACATTCTATATGTAAAATAAAACTGGCAAGTTATTTATCAGAAAAGAGAGAGAAAGAAATTGAACATTTTGGTTTTACTATTTAGGAAGCTATGAGAGCCAGTTTGGTACAGTGGTTAAGGCACCAGACTAGAAACTGGGAGACCATGAGTTCTAGTCCTGCCTTAGGCATCAAGCCGGCTGGGTGATCTTGGGCCAGTCACTCTCTCTCAACCCTAGGAAGGAGGCAAGGGCAAACCACTTCTGAAAATATTGCCAAGAAAACTGCAGGGACTTGTCCAGGCAGTTGCCAAGAGTCAACACTGATTTGAAGGCACCAAAATAAATAATAAATAAAACTTAGGAATCTGGATCTCCAGATCATGTTGCTTATGAAGGACATAAAACAATGGTTAGGAAAAGGGGAAATCCTCTGCTTATGTATATTTGAAACTGGATGAGGAGCAAATTTTACTTTTAATTTGTTTATATGCACTCAGACATGTGAAAGCATACATTCTTATGCATTAAACAAACCTAGTCTTACATATATGTTTATGTCATGTTGTACAGTTATACTCTGCATGTGCTCTGGTAACTAATCCATTGTGTATCAAAACTGAAGTTCGATCTAAAAAAGTAGTAGTGGAAAGGTTCTCAAATATTGTCTTACCAAATGCCTTGCTACTGAAGGTTATCCACGGTTACATGGAGCCACTCCTTCATAGGTTTAGCTTGTACATAATGCTAAATGAATTTATTTGTTTTTGGCTTGGAATCATAGCATCCAGGGCATCCTGCAATGATATGAAAATGATGTGTCTTGTGATATCATGATGTAACGCCTGGTCTTTCATATGTGCATCCTGAAGTTGCAAGAAACATTTAAATAATATGGTTTGCATTGCAATGTTGTGATGCAAGTTCTGTCATTTACCTCCGCCCCGCCACCCTGGTGGATGCTTGTGCTTGGGGTGATGTATGAACTCATTCATTACAGCTTAGTATTAAGACCCTAATGAATTTAATTAAACAAGGCCATCTCTCAGGACCTAGGAAGATGCCTTTTCTGTCTCAGCAGCTGCCCTCTGAACAGCATTTCCCCAGAGATCCATATGGCTCCCACCCTAATGATGTTCAGAAAGTCATTAAACACTTGACTGTTCTCTCAGACCTTAGGGTAGAGTGGTGGTTGTTTTGTTTGTTGTTGCCACCCAGAATAATTTAGAATTGGGCAGCCTCTAAACTGTATGAATGAATGAATGAATGAATGAATGAATGAATGAATGAATGAATGAATGAATGAATGAATGAATGAATGAATGAATGAATGAATGAATGAATGAATGAATGAATGAATGAATGAATGAATGAATGAATGAATGAATGAATGAATGAATGAATGAATGAATGAATGAATGAATGAATGAGCAACATTTTTGTATGCAGTCATAGGATTCCAGGCCTTCTGAAGGAAAGACTACTGTGCCTTAACTACCATCATCTTAATTCTTTCTGTTCTACAAACAGAATTTCACTGATTCTTTTTGTTATCCCAAGGAAAAGGGAAATAATGCCTAAATTACACAGACCTACCCAGTACCTCAATATTGTATAGGTACCTGGAATGTAAGATCTATGAACCAAGGCAAGCTGGATGTGGTCAAGCATGAGATGACAAGACTGAACATCGACATCTTGGGAATCAGCGAACTGAAATGGACGGGAATGGGTGAATTTAATTCGGGTGACCATTATATCTAAGGCAAGAAACCCTTAGAAGAAATGGAGTTGCACTCATAGTCAATAAGAGAGTGGGAAAGGCAGTAATGGGGTACAACCTCAAAAACGACAGAATGATCTCAGTGCGTATCCAAGGCAAACCATTCAATATCGCAGTCATCCAAGTCTATGCCCCAACCACTGATGCTGAAGAAGCTGAAGTTGACCGCTTCTATGAAGACCTACAACACCTTCTAGAACTAGCACCAAAAAAAGA